TATATATGTATGTATGTATGTATGTATGTAAGTTCGCATGAGTGTAGCTCACTCAATTTTCGCAGAGATGGCTGGAGCAAGTTACAGAAGATGTGTTTCAGATCCCCATAGATTCGTATTGATTGTTTTCCCGATCGGAATTATGATGAAGTAATGAAAAGTAATTCCACTGGAGAATCCGCAAAAGATTGATATATCAAAAACCCATCATGCGACACCTCAAATCACATTAGACTTTTACTATAAGATCAATTGTGGACATATTCAGCCCCTATCATCACAATGGCCTCTTTCAGATGTACTGGGTACCTCCGGGAAGTGGACAGATTCTGACATGCACCGAAATGCATCGTGCAATACCTCAAATCACATGGAACTCAGGTTAATGATTAGTGCAAGTATTTATATAAAACCTCATTGTAATTTATTTATGGAAAAGAAAAGTGCGTATTCTTGATCGAAAAAGTGAAATTTTGAAATGTAAACAAAATTTTTCATTCACTTTTCTCGACGATAGCTGAACCGATTTGAGTGGAACCACTTTTATTTTATTTGTTTGGTTCTCCCATAAGACGCTAATGAATTTTATCCCGATCGCACATTGGGTTGCGGAGATATGACCAAAAAGTGAAATTTTGAAATAATTCAGTAAAACTCACTCACTTTTCTCGACGTTGGCTGAACCAATTTGAATGAAACCACTTCCATTTTATTTAAACCGTTCTCCCATAAAACGCTAATGAATTTCCTCCTGATCGTACATTGGGTTCCGGAGATATGGCCAAAAAGTGAAATTTTGAAATAATTCAGTAAAACTTACTTACTTTTCTCAACGATAGCTGAACTCAAATTAGTGGAACCACTTTTGTTTTGTTTGTTCGGCTCGCCAATGAATTTTATACCGATCGCACAATTTTATACGATCTTTGGCAGCATTTGTTAGAATCGCATCGAAGCATTCAAGCAGATCATTAATATTTTTTCTTTGTGTATTTTTCTCCTCAGTTTAGATATCATTTTATTATGGAGTTGCCTCTCTTTGATGCTTTATTATACAGTTATTAACATAAATGTCTCAAAAAAGTGATGCATAAAAATGTCAATTACTCAAAATATAGCAAAAAGAAGCAGCCAATTTTTTAAAGTGATTAGTGTAGACCTTTTTGGGTAAAATAACGACAACAATTCAACAGGCAACTGCAGGCATTTTCATATAACATCATTTGAATATTGCATATGGTAAATTCTTTCAAATTTGTTGAAATTTTGCTTTGTGTGTAAAACATGATAAGATCAATACTGTCAATGGTCGAAAGGTACAGTAGCAGCACCTACCCCACGCGTGTTCCCTCGATATCGACAAGTCGACGATGACAGGAGCACATATCGTGGTAGGGGTAAACAATAGTTGCAATTCCCAAACCTACGACTGGATGCCTTCCTTCAAATAACAACCGTAGTGCGGTAAAAAATCGGTAGAACTGTTTCAAACACGCAGTTGGTACTTGAGCGGTCGGTTTTCATCTCTTTTTGCCAGTGGTGGCGGGGGGGGGGGGGACACCCCTCACCATCCCTCTCCAAAGGGGGAGTTTGGTAAAGAGAGATGAAGAAACCGATTTGTACCTTCCTTAAAAGTTGTCCTAGCTCGCTATTCTAATATCTATATGCAATCTTCACACTGCCGTACTCTAACGGAACTATCAACTCTATGCTTTCATCTACTCCATCTATCGTATAAAAATTACCACTACAGTCTGTTATTTGAAATTAGCATCTTCAACTACATGATAAGATGTTATTGATCTGAATAGATTACTAGGAGACTTAAAAACTGCTGGTTTAAAATGTCCATCCTCCAACGTCCTCCATAGTGTCCTTTCGACTTGTTTTGCGACTGTATCGTTCCCGAAATTTTCTGAAGTCTTTATTTCTGGCTTCTTGAGCCTCCTCGCTTAACATACCAATTGGAAGCAATGCAATTTGGATTGCTTGCGATCCGTGGATTAAAACCTTATGGACAGAGGCTGGCATTGGATTAAATGGTACATAAAGGCTAACATAAAGACAAGCAGTTTCTTCAGCAAAATTTCGAAATGCTGTTATGTTGATTGAAAATCCGGAAGACAACGTACGAAGAATTGTAGCGCATCGGTCAATTAATTTTTCATTAATACCAGTTATTGAAATTGTTTGGGTTGCGTTAGTGAAGAATCTGCGTGCATCTGTGCTTGTATTTCTGATTGTTTGTAATCTATTCAGATCAATAACATCTTGTCATGTTTTACACACAAAGCAAAATTTCAACAAATTTGAAAGAATTTACCATACATACTTAGAAATAACTAATTTTACACGTGACGGAATCAATCTTTGACATAAAGTACGAAAAGTAAACACAAATTTCATGTTAAATTAAGGTATCCGAGACGAAAACTACGTTTGATTGGCTTGAATTTCGCGTCTGTTATGACTCAATTTTTTGTCAAATTTGACGCTCGTATATGTCATTCTCAGAGCATCTAAAATTACATAAATTTTTCTAAGTGTGTATGTAATATTCAAATAATGTTATATGAAAATGCCTGCAGTTGCCTGTTGAACTGTGGTCGTAACTTTACCCAACAAGGTCTACAATAATCACTGTAAAAAAAAATGGCTGCTACTTTTTGCTATATTTTGAGTAATGGACATTTTTATGCATCACTTTTTTGAGACATTTATCACAGACAAACAGACATAACACTGGCAATTTGTTCATCGAACACGCATTTAACGGTCAATTTAAATGTTTTAGTTGGTAATACCGCCACCTGTAGCGCGCATAGTCAATAACCCTTGCGTTTGACGTTTACACACTACCGCCATCTGTTCAGCGTACTACCCATCACAGTATACTCAACAGATGGCGGTAGTGTTTTAGCAACGATGTTTTAAATTGAAAAGTATTCAATGTGTTATGTCTGTTTGTCTGTGCATTTATGTTAATAACTATATAATAAAGCATGGTATATAAAATAATGGGTATTTATTGGATGAGTCAAACCATTTTGTTAGTTATCAGAGTATAAAACTTATACACTTGACGTATATAGGTGAAAAAAAGGAAAAAACGCAATTTTAGAGGTTAGAATTCCTAATTGCCCAATATCTCGCTTATTGTGAGTTTCGATGTTTTCGACAACATTTCTCAACACTTCAAATAACACAACTTTGCCGTAAAAACCATTCGGCTAGGATGCTCCGTTCAAAAGATAGACTCGAGCGCCACCTATGTGGCGTAAAGATGAACTAATATGAAACTTTCAAAAGATGGCGCTTTTAATATTGAGCAACTTTGTAGAACATTGTATCGCTGTAGAAAGCAAACCAACGGCACTAGAGGTTTTGGCCACGCGAATGGCTTCGCTGCCCCACTGTGCGCCGTAAATGGATGCCTTCCAATTACGTTCAATTCGTTAAAAGCAGGTCTGTTTTGCTCGAACATTACTTTTACTGACATTTAAAATTTCCCATCTATTTCATCTAACCACAAAATTACAATAAAGTGTCAATAAAATACAATAGATTCTATTGTTGACAATTGATCTTATTGTAATACAATAGGTTTTATTGCATTGTAACAAGAGGTTGAATGGTTTTTGTATGGTAATTTTTTATTCGAAAATGCACGCTGACCAATATGCATGTTGCTCTTATGAAGATTGATTGATTGATTTATCTTTATTAGGGAGGCTTTCATTCTGGGGCTGGTTCGCCTCCAAGGGCTCTTATGAAGACAGCGAACAATGACAATCGTCGCTTAATGGTTTGCAGGCAGAAGTAACTGATGTTTACTGCCGTAAGGAATCTGAGCGTTTATAATCCGTCCTCCCACTCGAAGTATGTCATCCTTCTCATTGATGAAAGGGTTCAAGCATTTCAACGGATACTTGAAGTCCTTTTCCTCCGTCTGCACGACGCCGCGAGGAGAACTACAGGCAGCTCTTCTGCTGTCTCGCCTCACTGCGAAGTTGATAGAAGCCATGGAAATAAACTCTTCATCCGTGGTTTTGTGGAGCGACTTCCAGAAACGCTGAAGATTTTCGTTGGAAAACGGGTGAAGGAAATCCAAATGCTGCCGAACGGTTATGATTGGCGATACATTCTGTCAAAATCGAACCCGGCAGACCTCATTTCAAGAGGTGTTCAACCGAACCAATTGTGGAATCAGGAAATTTGGCGGACAGGGCCAGAATTCTTGAAGCATGTGATGTTCCGAATCAACACTCCTCCTCCGGTTCCTGAAGATATTATTCCGGAGGTGCGCGGAATCGTTCTTCTCAACTTGATTATCTGCACCAGACTGAAAATATTTGACAATATCAGTCGATTTTCGATTATGCAACGAGCCATGGCATACGTGATTCGTTTTACGGATTTCATCAGAAGTGGAAGAAAGCAACTTACCAATGGCTTGTTGACAGCTGATGAGATGAAACGTGCAGTGCTGCTAATTGTGCGTTTAGTTCAACGGGAAGGTTTCGAAAAGGAAATCAGCGCGTTGACGCAGGAAAAGGACTTCAAGTATTAGTTGAAATGCTTGAACCCTTGACCAGGTGAAAGGCGATCTGTGGAACCTTCGCAGACTGCGAGGCTGGCAACGTGCAACCATGGATCGAGTGGAACGGAGACGAGTTATGTGTACAGAAAAAGACACCCAGCCCAAGTAACACTGTTGGTTGGATCATAGTCTTGTAGACCATGATTTGATCTTGAAGAACACTTTAAAACCTTGATAAAACTTTCATTGTTACTTGGGAGATCTTAATCTGACTGGTAAGGTAAGGTAAGTAGTCACACCAATGTTGGTTCAAATCGGAGAGGGCCGTTGCAACTGAGATGGCATGGCCCATATACGATTGTAATTTTGTTAATCCACTTTAATGCATTTTTTGTTTGTAGGCTGGTGATATCTAATAAAGCAATTTCTTTATGTATAACTTTCACAGTCATCTATTTTATGCAAAGTGTATCGTGGACTAGGTAACTATTTCTACACTTCCACCCCTTCTCGAATCGAACGCTGCAGATATTTTGTTGTGTGCATTCTTGGCAATGGCTGTCGCCGCTGCAAATCCTGCATCCGGCTTCTTCTCCTTCACAACATGACCGCGCTTTCGCAATCCTTCTAGGATCGCTTCATCAAAGCCCATTTCGTAGTCCACCCACATTGGCGCCAGTTGATGATGGAGACGCTTGGCATTCATTACAGTGTCAAGATCTTCTCCAAAGAATAAGTACCGAAGGAGAAGCGTAACGGTGGCAGTAGTGATTCGTGATCCTCCTGCTCCACCAACCACCATCTGAACTCCAGAATCCTTGTTCGTTACTATTGTTGGGCTCATGGAGGAGAGAGGACGCTTCCCAGGAACGATAAAATTTGCCGGAGATGGTGGTAGACCGTAGGTATTGATTGTATCGGGTGAGGAAAAGTCGTCCATTTCGTCATTGAGAATGATTCCTGTTGAGCGAGAACGGATTTTTGCTCCCAATCTGAAATGAAAACACGAAGTGATTAAACAGAGAATCAATTAAAGATGGCCATTGATTAATTTCAAAGTGTGCACTCACAAATAGTTTATGGTACTAGTTGCAGACACCGCATCTCCATTGGCGGCAAGAACGCAAACGTGTGCTGTTCCTTGATCTTCTGAATTGGCGAATTCTGCTCCATAGTGAGCGAATTTATCATATGTTTGATCATCATGAATTAGACTACGGATGTAGGCTGCATAACTGGGACTGGACAAATTTCCCAACAAACCATGAGCTTCCGTGAGGAAAGGTGGATCTCCAACTCTGGTGCGAAGGCCATATCCAAATTTGAAACTCTCTACGACTCTGTGCCAGGTAAGGGAATCTGTCAGATTCAGATCATTGTATCCGTCTAAAACATTCAGCATAAAGTTCAGCAGTGTTCCACTTCCTGGCAGTGGAAACGAGTGCACTTGGTATTCACCGCGAACCTTTACCATTGAAGGTGATTCCCATTTTGGTCTGTGAATGAAACAAAAATAAACATTCGTTAACAGCAACCTATAATTAAGCTGAGATTTTGCGCAATCTTACTCATAGTTATAAAAATCTTCTTCTGTTAAAATGCTGTCAACTCCTTTTAAATCTTTCATAAGCTTTGGCAAAAGAGTTCCATTTTTGCTGTACAAGGAATGTACACCTTCATTTGCAATGATTTCTAAACTATCTGCCAGAGCTAATCGTTTGATGTAGTCACCTTCTTTCCACGTATCGTTTGTTACCGGATTGATGAATATCTCACTTAGTGATCGTTCGGCATGAATTTTGCTGCGTGTCCTCCCTAATATTCTTTCCAAATAACCAGTTACCATGTGGCCCTTTCGACACAAATCGATAGTTGGTTGTACCAACGTTTTCCAATCCAATTTTCCATACTTTTGATGCAGAACCCAGTATCCTTTCAGTTCACCCGGTATTGCTATCAAAAGACCTCGTTCGTCTTTGGTAGATTTGTCTTTATTTATCATCATATCCTCAGTTGCAGCTGCTGGAGCAGTTTCTCTGGCATTCAATGTTTCAACTCGATCATTTGCCCGATCGTATATCGTCAGCAGAAAACCTCCTCCTATGCCCATACTCTGAGGACAGGTCACCCCTTCACAGAAGAGAGTTGCTATGGTGGCATCGGCTGCCGTTCCATTCATTCGAAGAATTTGCGCTCCAATTGCTGCACATTCGTGCCCATTGGCTACTACGGCTCCCTCGTGCCGGTCAGTGTGAACCTGCTGTGAGTCACGTCTGTTCAGTCCGTAGTATAAACTCCCACCCAGTGAGATGAGTAACAGCGCTAGAGCAAAGGCGATGATAATAGTCTTCTTGCGATACGGATTTCTGCGGAAAAATATTCGAAAAAAACTACGTGAGTTATATTGAAAATCGGGTCATGGCAAAAATGGTTGTATTTTCAAAAATCTTGGATTTATCTTTCCAAATATGGAATCTTCTAGATGGAAGCGTGTTTTGAATTTTATTTTTCATTCTTTGACCCTTCTTACTAATTGAATTTCTATCAAAACTCTTCAATCCGCATTCCTTTATACCCCACTTGAGGATAGCCTTTCGTTGCCTTTTTGATTACAGATAACACTTCCAGCTCTGATGATTTACTACACATTTTATATTAAAAAATTTAAAAATGTATTCAACACTTTTTCCAGTTCCTTTAGCCAAATGGAAGAAAGCCTATAGATGGACTATGCTTATGGATGCGTTTTGTCAAGCTTCTCAGTTTTTGGTATGAAGACGACTCTTACTAACTTCCTCCCTAACCTTCATATTGATCTAATGTGCAAGGTGTCGATTCCCTGGAAAATTAAGGAATCTCAGGGAATGCAAATTTTTTTTGGATGAAAAGGAAGGCACTAAAATAGAAAGTTTTTTTTTCAGACTGATTCATCGTAGAATTCTTCTTTGAATAACCTTCTAAATTCTAAAGGAAATCCTTTAAAAAAAGATTGTACGAGAAGTTTCTAAAAGATGCTTCCAGAAAAAGCTTCTATGAAGTCCCTAAAAAAAGCTTCCTTTTAAAGCTTCAAGACGCTTGCCGTCGCTCCGCTCCTCTGACTAAAAAAACACGGTCAGTAAACCCGAGTAGCTACGCGGAAAAAGAACATTTTTTCAAAGTTTAAGGATCATTTCATTGTTTTAATATTGCGTTTCTATATCTGCTAAGTGATTGTACACAAGTTTTGCTTGACGAAATATACAAATTAAATATTTCAAAAACCCGAAACCCACCTATGGTAAAATCTAACCCTTCTTTAAGTAATACTTATTCAAATTGCACTAAAATTGCTCTAGTTCGCATTCAGAGAAAAGAAGTAAGATAATTTCTGAATGATATGTGTGCCTGTGTAGAACAATACGTTTTAGGACAGCGGTTCTCAAATTTTTTCGTTGGCGACCCACTTTTAAGAATTGCATAAGCTTGCGACCCACCAATATTAAATGCAGATGTTTGGAGGCCAAACTGATCCTAAAAACTGCAAAATTGCTTTGAAACGCCACAAAAATCCACGGCATTTTCAACGGCCTGAACGCCAAAACAGCCCAAACAAAGCATAGATAAAATAGCTAGAAACGAGAAAATTGTGGTAAATCGACAAGTGATGGCATAATCATTAGTAAAATTATATCTTTTCGCTCTCATACGCTCTCAATATCACGCGTAATATTGGACCACATTTTAAAAGCTCCTGTGATATTGCGAGGCCATGTAAAATTATAGCTGAGACACAAAAATGATTCCGTTGCACATCGTTTTCTTAGAACTTTGCTATCTCTCTTACCTCTTCAACGATGGCAGACACGAGTTTGCTGCTTCCAGCAGTGATAAAAGTTTCGGGTCAAGTTCGGGTGCAAAGCAAAAATCTTGAATCTCAAGCTTGTAGCTGGTGAGTTTTGTTAGCTTGATATTTGGAGCAACGATATCACAGCTTGTAATATCATCTGCAGTTGTTTGCTTGTTGATATTTGTCTACGAAAATCAACCGTGATCATGATCATTGTTAAGATTTGACTTTTTGATATTTTCTCAACATTGAAATCAACAAATCAATCAAAAAGGGGTCAAAATGGTTTTCGAAAATGTCCTGAACACCCTCAAAATAATCTCGAAAGCACTGAAATAACCTTAAAAACGTCATACCTTCAAAAAGGCCTTACAATCGCTAAGCAAGATTAAATTGGCCTAAAAATCAACAGCCTGAACATAACAATAATTATCATGAATCGTTAAGGTGAATCGCTGTGGAAACCTTATATCTGTTTGCTCTTAATGTCACCGCGAATTTTCAAGAACACAAATATCAGCTCCCACAAAACATACAACAATGAAACTGGAACTTCACGTTTGCTGTAATGCAGCAAACAGGGAGTTTCAATTTCATGTGCGATGTCGCAACAGTGATCGAAATTCGTGCTCCAGAATAATTTTAGTGATAGGGCATATCAGCTGTTATGACGGTCATTTTTGACTATTCAAGGAATTAGCTTAAAATGCAAAAAACGATACAAATAAGTAAAAAAAAAAATGTAATAAATAATAAAAAATTTAAAATCAGTTAAATCCTGCATGCAATTTAAAAAACTATGAACAATTTGTCTGAATTTCGTGATGTACCAATGTGTTCCCAAACAATTTTTCATAAACCACGTGAACACTTTAGAATGGTAGGAGTTGATTTGGCGAATGCCTAGGATTCATACAAATTTGGACATATTTATGTGGACGATTGTCTGATGGTGGGTCGTACCACGCCAATTGATTACAAGAATATGCAGAATTGAAATCGACCTTCTTGTATTTGATCCGAAATGAATATAATATACTCATTCTGGGTCAAACTATTGAAAATTCATTTGATTGTGCTGACTACACTCTAATCAGGCGCCCATCCATTCATTTGTAATTTTTCAAAAACATGCTATATTCAAATGGCGTTGTCTCCGTGCCAAATTATACTACAGAAAATGTTAGCAACTGTTTTCAGGTTGGAATTTTGCAAGAAATTAAAAAAAAAATATTGTGTGTTTGGCAGTGCTGCCACCTTTTTTTTTTTGCAAGACAAATAAAATAAAAAACATTTTTCATTAAATACATGTTTTTTTTTCCAATTTCTAAGTAGAATCGTGTGTTTTCCTAGATTTTTTTCAGTCTTGAACACTCATGGACCCAAAATAAAATGTGCCCTTGCTGAGTTACGGCAGTTTAAAATAATATAGTCTGTAGGTTTTTGTATAAAATGTAGGTTTTGTATTACAACTATAAACTATGGAAATAACGGCACTTTTATCTTTCTATTGGTGGATACTCTCCGTAACAATGTAATTTTTATCATAATCTTATATACTAATGTCAGAAGTTTGAACCGACCAATGTATCTCATAATTTCACGTCAGAACATGTTCTTTTGTAAATTCCATAAAAATAGGCATCACCACGGTTGTGATGCATTATGTTCAGCCATAATCAATAAAAAACTATGAGAATGCACTTATCCCCAGTGTTCGTTCAACGCATGTCGCAACTTCTTCTGGTATTGATACCATGATTATGAAAACTGTTTCTGGCGCCACAACTTGCTCATCGTTTAGAGCTGTGGCATAGAAAAGGTTGGAGCTTTCAGAATGGAAACCTATATACTCTCCACATCTCGATGTCCACTAACTCGATATCGAGTTATAGGAACATAGTAAACATGAATTTCATGGTTACTGTGATAGCAATTTTGTATGGGATTGTTATTCTATTACTCGATGGTCCCATCAATATCGAGTTGTAGAGAGTGCACACACTCATTCTGAGAAAAAAATCAGTTTTAGGTTTTTAAACTCAAATATAAAATATTCGAAAACATTGTACTAAAAAAATTAATTCATATTCAAATTTCTTGTCTAAATTTCTCTTATAAAAAAACTACAATGTTAATTGTAGCTTTGTTTGTTCCGAATATATTGATATAAGAAAGTAGTGATTTATTCTAAATCACGAAAAATAGAAAATGCTCTCTGGACCGAGGGGTGGTTTGATCAGCAAAAAAAATGGATAAATAAAATTTAGACCAACATGAAAATCTCCTCCCAATTTGGTCCAAATCTTTTTCACGTGCCTCGGACACTTGGCGCGGAATAACCCATGAACACTTAGTTTTGTTATTACTTTTGGAAAAAATAGCATAATTGTCAACACTGGCAATATATTTGTTCAGATTCGTCTCAAAATTCCATGCTGAAAACAGCTGATCAAATCAAAGTTTGAAAAAAACATGTTTTTGAACATGTATAAAAGAGGGATGGGTGCCTGATCAAACGGGTGGTCCAACCAGCACAATCAAATGAATTTTCAATATGTTAACCCAAAATGAGTACATTTCAATTATTGTGGTAAAATTGGAGGTCAATTGCACGTTGCGTGATCACTTCGCGCGGTATCTTATTCTTGAAATTTCATACAATACGTTTTAACTCATGGCAGATTTATGTCACTTGTTGCACTCTTAATATACCCGTGTGTTGTCAATGCAACTTTCGTTGAACCCCGAAATCATTGGTAGCCAATGATCTTAGGGGTCGTCCATAAATTATGTTACACATTTAGGGGGGGGGGGATTTGAAAACTGTGATGAGCCATACAAAAAAAAATAAGGTTCATACAAAAAATGTGACAAAGGGGGGAAGGGGGGGGGGGTTGAAAATGGGCCAAATTTGCGTGACATAATTATGGACCATCCCTTATACCTGCATTTTCATTTGAAGCAAAAGCACCGGAGCTTGTGTGGCCAATATTATTGCTATTGAACTTTCATGTGATATGATGGATTTTGGCTCATGTGCAAATTCTGGTCACTTATGGCTGGGTGTAGTCACTATGGTCCTGGGCACTCGATATGACTTCCATTGAGCTTGTTTCCGAATTCTCATGTGATAAGAAGGGTCGCAATTTGGTTTTATTCCAAGTCAGAAATTTAGCGCTTTCCTGAGAGCACCCGGAACACGTCCGAATGGATCCAATATGGTCCTGGGAACGTTATACGACAACCATTGATATTGTTTTAGAATTCTCATATTAACCAGAGGTACCCGAAACATGTCCGGATGTGGCCAATTTGGTTTTTGGCACTCGGTATGACGGACAGTTTTCCGGAGGCACCGAGATCACGTTGAGATGTAGGCAATGTGGTTCTGAAATATTCATATGACTACACAGCAAAAAATAAATTTTTATATTACATCCAAGATAATGCACTTCAATCGTGTCGAAAATCCCATGTAATTTTTTGGCCACATGTTTATATGCACTATTATTTTCAAGAATAATATCGATATTCTTT